CAGCGGAGCCTGCGCCATTGCGGGTGATTTCGGAGGCACCAAGCAAGTGAGGCTGGGGCTTTTGTGGGGAAAAAAAACCCAAAAACCAAAAAACCAAACAAAACCAGAAATCAAAACACCTCCCCCCAAATCCAAACCAAACCAAACTCACAAAAAACCCCAACTTTTAATTTTTTTTCTTATTTTTCTTTTTTCTTTTTAATTTTTTTCCTTTTTTCTTCTTTTTTTTTTCTCTTTTTTGTTCATTCTTTTTTCTTTTCTTCTTTTCTTTTTTTTCTTTTCTTTTTTCTCTTTTGTCTTTTTTTCTTTTTTCTTTTTTTCTCTTTTCTTTTTTTCTCTTTTTTTTCTTTTTCCCCCTTTTCGCCCGGAGCTTCTGGTTCCCCCAGGGCCCTGCAAGCAGGGGTGATGGAGGTAGAACTGAGGCCAGCTTGCCCCAGCACCCTGCTCAGTACCAGCAGAAGGGAGTGGGCCGCCCTGCCAGCCCCTCTTTCGTTTCCACCCACCACGTGTCCCCGTTAAGCAGGGTTAAGCCCAGCCCGCCTTCTCCCCCAGGGCTGCTGACCTTGCTGATGTCCTCTGTTGCTCCACCGCTGCCTCCTGCCCCGGGCAGCCCCCTGTCAGACAGTGAGTACCAGCAATTCTTTGCCAACCTGCAGCCCCTCTGGATGGCGGATGTGTCCTGGTCGGTTGGTTTCGGCTGCCTCAGCCCCGCCATCCTGCAGCTGGACCAGGAGGAGAACCATGGCCGTGTCCCCAAAGGTAGGGGCATCACCCCACCTCCAGTGACAGAGGCAGGCATTTCCCCAGCTGGAGCAGTGCCAGCTGCTCCTCTACCCCAAAATGCCACAGGATTACGGGAAGGGTGGTGGGATGGGTTGTTTTGGGGTCTCTAGCTCAAAGTTCGGCGTGGAGCAGGATGCTCCCAGCACTAGAGCACCGTGGCTTTGTGCAAGGGAGTTTGGTTTTGTGGTCTCTCTGGGCACCCCTTTCAGTGCTGCACTGCTTTCCTGGAGAAAAAAGCTTTTCCTAATGGCCAGTCCTAACTTCCCAAGCAGGAATTTGCAGTTTTCTCCCTCTTGTGTTGTCTGGCACCACCAAGAAGAGTTTGACGTTGTCATCTTGTAGCTTTCCTTCAGGTCCTTGTGAGCTGCCGTTAATGCACCTCCCCATCTCCTCTTCACCCAGCTGAACAAGCATAGCTGCCCCACCCTCTCTTCATGGGTCACGGGCTGAAAGCCATGGCCAGTTCGGTGGCCCTTCTCTCAGCTCTTCACTTTCTCCACATCTCCATTCGTGGGATGGCAGGGGAAAAAAACTGGCCATAGTTTTCTGAAGCTCCCTGAAGCTCACCATCTCTTCCCAACAGTTCATCTTACAACCTGACCGGCTCCTTCCAGCTTGATCTGGGGTTTAACGTAGAAGCTTGGCTCATGGGCCCTCATGGGCCTTTAAGAAAGCTTGAGCTGATAAGCTGCTTTTTTAAGTGTTTAACATTTCAGGAGCCAAGAAACATCCCAGTTCAGAAAGTGCCATAGCAACAGCACCCTTTAAATCTCTGCAGTCATACTTTCCCTGCACCCCTGCATCAGAGAATTTAAGTGGCATAATTATATCTGTGCAGCTGAAAAACTTGGGACTACTTCTGTTGTATTTTTCTTCAGAGGAAAAAAAATAGGAACAATTTTCTCGTAAAAAAATATGTCTTTATATTTAGCTGTGAACGTCAATGAACTGAATGATCAGCCAACTGTGCTTATTTGGACTGCAGCTTGAGGGCAACTATTTCTTGCTTGTTTCTGCAGCTGTGTCAGGGGAACAGGTCCCACCCCGCATCACCAGACCCAGGGATGGGTCCTGGATGCCTCCCTCGCTTGCGAGCACCTGCAATCCACGATGCCGTGGCGCTAGGTGCACCCAGGGGCTGTCCCTGGTTCCTTTCCTGGTGATGCCTAGCGCCCTGGAACTGCTCTTTGGCATATCCAGCTACTTTCCCACTGCTGCTGCCTTCGGAGGCTCACCTGCCAAGAGCAGGAGCATCTGGGAATGCCAGGAGATGGGACAATTTTGCAGGGTGCCCTCTTTGCCTTCTTTTCCTCCATCCCTCAGCCCGACAGACCCATCCAGCAGGCTATTCCCCTCCGTGGTCCCTTTCTTCCAGTTTTGGGGCTATTTTGGCACGTGTTGTGGCCAGCCTGAGAGGCCGAGTGGACGCAGCAGAGCATGTGCCCTCACTGTCTCTACTGTCCTCACAGATAAATGGCAGTGCTGTCTACGTCCAAATATTCATGAGCGTTAATTGTGCCTCTTCACGTGTGGTGCTGAGGAAAGCGGTTACCTTGTATTTTACACAAGGGAAGCCTACACGTAACCTTTCAATGCTCTTTGTTGTGGAAGATGAGAGTCAGGAGGATGTTTCGTGATGAGTGTATGCAAATATCTTGGCTGGTTCCATCTTTTAGTGATGATGCAATTGTTAATTAATTGCCCCCCTCCCCCCTGTGCTGGGAGCTCCTGTGGGTGGAGTTGGTCACAAAGCCCAAGGGGGTGGCTTCCTGACACCCAGCAGAAGCTGTAGCTGTTTGCAGCAAACACAGGGGCAGGAGGAGCAGAGGAAAGAGGCAAAAGATCATATTGATTAAAATAAGCAGCTGGTGCTGAGAAGGGCTCCCCTTGGCAGGAAGGTCAGAGGATTGAAAGAAAAAGGAGTATTTCCATAGGGGAGATGAGCTGAGAGAAAAGAGGAGATGGGGATCAGTGCTAAAGGAGGCAAGCTGCTTGTCAGGCCATGCCATCAGCATTCAACAGTCTGTGGGAAAGCTGAGCCATGGTGAAAATCAAGAGACCAGAAAAAAGAGCCCAGCAAAAAGAGCCCATGGGAAGCTTTATCTGTGTTTTTCTTTGCTTCCCAGATGTTGGAATGAAAACGTACTTTTCTTCTCCCCCCACCCCAAAATGGAAAGTTTCTGTATCATGAAGGAATGGTTTGTGACAGGACACGGCAAGTGGTAGCCTGGCCCCGTATATGCTGCTGCGGACGCAGTCCTGGCCCGGGAGAGCCAGGCTAATGCTGGGGTTAACAAACGGTTGGGCTTCCTCCCCTGCTCAATGGCAGCAATGCTCCTTTGCAAGTAGTGGCTGTGCGGTGGAGTAAAACGCTGCAGCTCCCAGTCCATTGCACTGGGCAAGTCCACCTCCCCCACATCCTGGAGGGATTTCATAGGGCATCACCAAAGGACAGAGTGGGGGTCTGGCTTGTTCCCTACAAGTTGCGCATTATTCTGGGCTGGGATCCTGCTGGATACCTGAAATTCTACTTTTGCTAGTGAATCTGTATTCTCAGCACAAGAGAAGTGTGTACATTGTAAAAGATGGTGTACAAGCAATTAACAGGAGAACAGTGCAATTCCACTGCTAACCTCCTCCGACTCAGCCAGCACTTGACCCATTTGGTCTGCGCAAAGGGCTGGCTGTGCTAGCTGGGCCACGCACTCACAGAGCAGAGGGAGCACAAGATTACCCCCCCTCCCCAAATCTTGCAGGGTTTTTGGCTCTCCTGCATGACCTCGGCTATCTTGCGATCACTGCAGGAAAAGCTGCAGCTTTTAAGCCAGTACGGCTGGCAGTGCTGGTGAAGACTATGGTGCAGGTGTGTACAGGCACAGGCTTTGCCAGCAGCATCTCGTCCCTATGGACTTTCCTCCATCCCCTGCACGGCTGGAATCACTGTCAAACTATTTTGCTCCAAAGAGGTTGTTTCCTCTGGCGTTCCCAGGCCTGGTCTGGTCATCTTTTTAACCCATCATATCACTACTTGCCTTTTTTTTTTTAAAAACCCTTCAAGTACTAATAACAGAGTCCTTATCAGATCCTGGAAACAGGAGGTTTGGGTCTCTGTAAAAGGGAAGATAACCGTGTGAAAAAGGGCAGAAGGATGAACTGAAACCCTGGGTGGTTTGGAGGGGAAGTGCATGTGGCATCTGGGATGGGGAGCTGTAACAGCACAAGGCTGTGATCTCCACTCGGGGGCAGACAGCTTTGACTCTCCCTTCAACCACAAGCCGCTCAGAAAACAGCCATCTGAGAGGCCCCCACCACTTCTTGTGCCCAGGCCAAGGGGGCAGATGCCTAAACCTGCGGCCTGCCCCCATCCCGCATCTCTCTCTCACACCTCTCCAGGGCCCGTCTGCTCTGACTTCCCGGAGGCACCGTGGTTTCAGACCTTCTGCGAGTTCGCCCAGTACCGCTGCTTCAAACGCCAGTTCTACACCAAGGTGGGGAGCAGGATTTGGACCAGGAAGGGCGGGAGTATCACTTGGGAGATTGAAGGGGTGAGGAGGAAGGGAAGATAACACAGCAGGACTTGTGTTTCTCCCTCTCTCCTCCGCTCAGCGAATCCCGTGTCTGAGTTTGTCTCCTCAAAAAAACCTTCTCCTCCCGACGGAGCGACCTCATGCTGTGGGCTCCTGGGCAAGGGATGAAAGCCCCCCTACGGAAGAAGGTACGGCTGAATTGAGCTGGGCGCCCCTGCTCGCCTGCTGTTCTCCCGTAGCTACTCTTCCCCCGCCAGCAGCTTTCTGGCTGGCTTCAGAAAGCTGCTCTCAGCCCCCCCATCCCGCTCTCTCCCCAGCCCCAAGGCAGACTTCTGTCTTGCCTGCTGATGCCCTGCTGCATGCCAACGTGGATGCTCTCCTGAAGTACTCCTACGCACTGTCGGGTCAGAAACCGCTGCCGAGGAAGCTCCCGCCGGCCGCCAGGGGTGCCAAGACCTCCGCAGCACAGGGGGCTGCCTGTCCTCCCACTGACCCTGCCGGTCCCGACTGCCCCTGCCCCCTCACCTCCCAGGCTGGGATCCCCTCCCGGGGCAGAGCAACCCTGGGAGCAACGCCTGCAGAACAGCATCTGGCAGCTGATCCACTTGGCCCTCTCCTTGGAGACATCCCTAGGCACCGAGGGCTCTTCTCCAGACTCCAGCACCAAGCCTGACCCAGGGAGCACATCAGCCAGCGCCGAGGAGAGGACGCAGGAAGCAGCCCCCCGTGGCAGGTGAGGGGAAGACCCATCTCCCCGCCCAGTGGGATACCAGATGCCACCGTGCAGGGCTGTCCTCACGTGCCCCGGCTGGTAGCCCCGCTGCACTCATGCCTCTGCCTGGAGCAGACGGTGAGCGCAGGCAGGCTCTCTGGAGCAAGCTGTCCCATACAGAGCACAAATGTACCCAGGGAGCCCCTCAGACACCCCCTGCTCCTGCACACAGTGAGCAGGGAGAGGGTGACCCAGCACTGCTAGCACCTGACAATTTACTGTCCTTCTGTCCCGAGCAAATTGCATTTAGGCTGGGCCTTAGCTGCAGGCAGGGCTTTATCCCATGCACATGTGTGGCCATCTGCAGTGTGCAATCACCTCTGCACTCATCCTCCTCCCAACTCACATCTCCCAGGAGTCTGGTTCCTTGCAAACACGGGTCCTTGGGATGCTGGAGTAAACGTGTGTCTCGCTGTGCTCCTCACCTCTCTGCATGCAATGTGAAAACAGGTGTCTCTTAAAACAGCCTGACCTGAGGAGCGCTCCAAGGAGTGCTCCATCCTTACCCAGGTAGAGCAAATGCAGCCCCGGGCTAGGAAACAGAGCCAGGAGCACAGAGCCTTGCTCCTGGCTGTGCAGGACCACTACTTCTCCTCGAGCACGTTAACTTCTCTGCGCTCTGGGTCTGTGCATTGCTCTTCCTAGGGGGTTTCTGGTTCCCCGTTCTGGCTTTGAAAGCAGCTGCATGCCAGTTCAGCACAGGGCCCTGCAACAGTCCAGCTTACTGCAATCCTTTTAAGTGCCCTTCTTAGTTCCTCTGGCCTAGGGATATTTTAGGATCTTGTCGAGCATTTGAACTCTTCTCAGCTGATCTGCCAGATTCCATTTGCCTCTGTGCTCAGACAGCTGGGGCTGGTGAGCCCAAACAGAAAAGACCTGCAAAAAGATCGTATGTTTTCATTCAAATTTACTTTTTGATCCTTCAGTACTTTGTGGCTAAGGACCACTTGCTTTGACTGAGATGCAAAGATTATTTTGCTTGTCAAGAGCAAAAAAAAAATGCTGTCTAGATGTGGTTTTTATAGAGAAGTCATTTTGCTTTCACTCTGTTGCTGGCTAGTGATGTTCCTGTAAGCACACAGGTTTTGTGCATGATTGCACATCTGTGGTTTCTATTAAAACCACTGCATACTACTACAGTTGACCCAGAGATGCCATTTCTGCATGTAAAAATGAATTGCATCATGTTGTAAAGCTGTAAATGTTCTTTTGCAAGGCTGTAACTTATGTCATCCTCCTTCCTAATATTGTAGGAGGTTTTTACTGCCTGGCAAATTTTGCCTGGTGTTATGTACTCTAAGGCAAAATTATGTTTCATTGAGGATATGTTCGTTTTCCCTGTCTCTGAAGTTGAGCCTTGCTCTGATTTAGTTATATTGGGATTATTGAGGGACTACTGTGGTTGCAGATGACACTCGCTATTCTGCTGCAGAGTTTCTCAAAGACACTAATGCTGACTGTGTGTCTGTAACCTGGCAGCCGAGCTCCATCAATCATGCTAAGCAAAGCTTAAACTCAAGTGAGGATAAAAAGGCGAGATAGACCGCGCCTGTCGGCTTTGCTGCTTGCCACATCCCGCCTCCTCTCAAAGGGACTTCAAAGCATGACCTAAAAAAGGGGCAAAATGCTTTAAGGCACTTCCATTCCATCAAGAGGGGCAGTGCTGGCTGGGACTGGTCGGTGTGCACAGGTGCCATTCAGCATCTGGTTTAACACAAGGTGCTCACGGTTGTGACGGGCACTGAACCCAGGGCTGAGTGTCTTCCCTAGGGTCTTATGTCCAGCGGGATATCCATCCCTTCTCCCGCAGCTGCTCTGGTAGCTCTACCAGCTTTCATGGTACCTGATGAAGGTAGCTGTGACCTTTAGAGAGAGACATGGCAATGGCAGCAAAATAATAAGGAGCAAAAATTAGCAGCACACTTTTGTGGTGTTTCTGCTAGCAGTGAATCATTATAGGGGAAAAAAGTGTCTCTTGTTGCATTTATTTTCAATTTTTAGTCCTTATTGTGCTTTCTGCCCCCTTGATTAAAGAGCTATTTATTTCCCGGTATTTCCTCTCCTTAAAGTTACCTATATGCCATGATTCAGTCTTGCAGAAAGCTGAACAGAGCTCCATAGCTCTTGTTATAAAGCCTGTGCAACTCATTTTCTGTGGCAGTTTTCACTGTCCCCTTAAAACATTCACATGCTCCAGCTCTGCCTGCACCATTCATACTGCAGTGGGTTTCAGCGGTTGGGTATGCAGAAGGAGGTCAACCTCCCTCCCCTTCCCTGCTCTTCTGTTTGCACACAAGAATTGCATTTGCCCTTTTTCCCAAGGCTTCCCACTGTTGTGTCGTTTGTCCACTACGACCCCTACACCACTTTCAGTGTCACGGCTGTCCCGGATACAGACCCCATCCTGTTGGTATTCCTGCGTGGACGCTGGTGGTTCACATGAGCCCAGCTTCCCCAGCAAGGCTGAGCCAAGCCCTCCCAGCAGCTGCACCTTCCTATTCCTGCATTACTCCTCCAAATAGTCCTTGTTGTGCTTACATACTTCATGCCCAGTGGCTTTAATTTTAAGACCAGACCCTTCATTAAAAATACTGTCCCCAGAAAAACACTCTCTTTGAATTATCATCGTCCGTTAACAATTACTTTTTCTTTTTTACCCTGGGTGTGGTGGTGCAAGATGGCACCCGTTCCCCTGACACTTCTCAGCTGCTTTCGGGAACTAGCTGTCACTTGGGGATGACGTAGAGGTATCTTTTGGCCATTCAGTAAGGTCAGGGCGCAATTTAGTGTCTCCATATTGCTACTGTGCACGGATAGCTGTGAAAGGGGAGTCGTGACAAGGCAGGTTGTCTTCTCACACCAGGCGCGAAGTTCAAGTGCTCCCAGGCTTCGAGAATCTCAGAGCAGGGGGCTTGCAGTATCCCAAGTGGTCAGA